TGAGAGTGTCGAAGATGGTCCGAATTTTCCATAGTCGGTCATAACTGTCAGCATTTCTGTCAGTTTCTGTACTGTTGTCTGCAAAATGTAGAAAACGAAGAATGTGAAGAAAATGGTCGCGTTTCATTGTGTTAGAGTAGAAAGGTGTGGCAAATTGTTCAGCAGTCGACCAGTAGTCCTTTAGTGTGTCTCTAATGTCATGTCCCATTTGAATGATTATTCCTAGAAACAGAAACATCTCGGATTCAGTTACGTCAGGCCGCGGACCTGTCTTGGTACTGGTGATAGTACCTATTCGTCTCTTCCACCAGCAGATGGATAATCCCCGCAAAGTACAGCATGAAAACGCAGAGAGGGGTGGAATCCTTATTCACGTGTGGAGNGAATCAGAATTCCAACTTGCTTCGCCACTGTCCGAATCGGTTGAATAGCAGTCCGAATCTGTGTCATTGAACAGCTGTTTTTCAATTTCAGTATCTTCCATACGACGTCGTTGTGTGGCCATGGTGAATTATACGGCTCTCTAGCAGTGAATGGTTTACTGCCAGCACAGTGCTTAGACCACGACCAGAAGCCATAAATCGCACCCACACATACAAAAATCTCATTCACGTCTTAGCTGAATATCTGCTTCAAAAATGGTTCATGATGTCATGGGTGGCTGACCTCATATTGCGATGTTTCAAAATCGTTACAAACACAATGGTTTGACTGCAATGAATGAACAAATGACTGATCTGGCAACACCATATTCTGAGAACGTTCTCCTGTGTATTTCTAACAGAGAGAGATTTCAGACGCCCACACTTATACCGACATGTCCCATACGATAAATAAGCTTCAACAAGAGATAGGCATTGTATGTGAGGCCGCCACAAGAACTTACACTGCTAAAACGCACGGTGCAGAAAATGTATTACACTGCTAGAACGCATGGTGCAGAAAATGTATGAATTTCGGGATTTTTTTTTTTGGAATGAGTGTAACATTTTTTTACAGATATTAAAATCTGTAAATTAGAATATCTGATTCTATATTCTTTCTACATTAAAGGAGCGTTCATTTCGTTCGTTTATCATAAAAAATGTAGAAATCACACCATTTTCAGAAACATGCTTACAATTTCATCGCTCTAGAAGGGCAGGCATTTAAATAAACTCCGTCCAGCTGCCCCTACCGGAAATTAAATGGCCCATCCGATAAAGGTTAATAGTTGAGAACCAAAACTTTCTAACTTACATACTGAACTGAATATCCTTATAAAGCATACTTATACATGCCCTCTGCATGGACCCTTTGATTATTTTAAACCATATTTGGTACTTAATTGGTGAAATAAAATATGTGTGTAATGGAATCTTTTCATGTTTTGATATAAATTTACAGGGCCTCCTTATTTTGTGAAATGGATCAGAGATTGACAGCAGCTTCTCCAGATGAAGCAGAAGCAGCTACAGAGATGCTGAAAGAAGCAGCACTGTCTCAGCATGTAGAGACTAAAGTATAATACTTATATTGGATTTCTGAAGTTATACACATAGGGTCTGGAACTGGAAGTAGCTGCAAATATCCAGAAGAAAATCTGAGCCACTATGGCTAAATGTGTTTAGAACACATGCCCTATATGTTTACAGAGATGTAAGTCAGTAAAAGAATTTCCCAGTTCCTATGATTTTAGTTTCATGATAAAGAAACCACTAATTTAAAAATCTGTGGTATCCTGTAGTATTACCAGTTTGTGGAATTCCTGATGCAGTAGATGTCTGTAACATGCATGGCCTATAACGAGACATTCATTTTAATGAGCATTTTGTTATGCACTTTCAGTTTAAGTTTATTATGGTTAGCAATAATCTTCAGATTTAATGAAAGTCCTTTTCAGAATTTCTGTTCTAATTAGTGCTTTTCTCCTAATTCTGGATTCATGTGAAAATATGCCACCAATTTCTATTCTTTAAAAGTTAAATGGGCGTTACTGGAAACAGCATTCTCAGTCTGAATTCTGTTTCTCCATCTGAAGCTTTATTGAGTTGAATGAAGGTACATTGGACATCTTTGTAACTTCAGGCGCAACATTCTCACATTTTACTTATTGGGGGCAATAACAGCCTTCATCCCCAGTTGCCTCAATACATGACCAGAAGGGTAGCTCATTGCATGGTGTGTACATGCCATTGGCCACCCTCTAGCTCTGGCCTAGACTCTTCAATTGCCCTCCCACTCTAAGAAACAATATTCTGTTGCTTTTGGGTGGTTACTGGGACAGACAAGTCTACTTGGTTGGATGATGTGTAGAGAGGTGAAGCAGGTTAGTTTGCTGCCTGAGTCTCTGTAGAGCAAATTATCTCATAACAGGAATTGTACTGTATTATCTAAAAATGGGCATCATTCCTCAGTATCACCCCAAAAGGTCTGAGATGGCCACAGCTTGACCAAGTGCTTTAAACATTTTTTGACTGTGACTTTATACAGGTAATCATAAAAATTACTTATATTCTCAAAAGCAAATTACAGCAGTAATCCAAAACCTGGGTACAAAACATTTAATATAGTACTGAGCAGTGGAAGCCGATAACAATTACACCATAATTTTTGCCAGCACCCGTACTAAAATAGTGTCTGTAAAATCTGCACTTATCTCCTATCCACCTTCTTGGATATGCCACATTCAACCACTGCTGGACATTTTCCCCATAGTGTGCAGGAGCTCTCTTGTGCTAAAACCACAACCTTTGCTTCACTGTCTTGAAGTGTTAAAAAGAAAAAGGTGAAGCTATCCCTGTAACAGCCCGTAGAGGCCCATAGCATTGTGAGATGTTGAGGCTTCCTCATTTTTCTAGGCATTCGGCCCAAAGATGTTGGTGAGGTTGTCAGCCTTATGTGCCAGTCACCCTTTACCCCCAGGAAGATTCCTGGTACTCATTTCTATTAGAGGGTCAGTTGACCCAAGGGCCATAATGCAGCTGGAAAGATTAGGTCAATTGAAAAATCCAATGACCTCATCAGGAATCAAACCTGCGACCTTCTGACTTGTAGCCTAGTGCCTCAACCAGCTATGGTACCACATGGCCCCTTGAAGTGTAGTGTCCTGTTTGTGCTTACAAATAAAATGAAGGGGTACCATCACACAGACGGTAGGGGGATACACAAATGGTGATGGGCAACATGTAAATATGTAAACAGTTGCACTCTTATGCATTTGACACATTTTGGGACTACAGACGATAGAGTGCTATCGCTATTCTACAAACTTTCCAGTTCACTGTTGCATGTGCAGTAGGATTCCCAGTATTCACTAGTCATGTTCTGGCAATGGATTTATCAGTCTCATTCAAATCACAAGTGAAGTCTTCTTTGCACCAGCTATTGAACCATTGCCTAGCGGTGGGTCTATAGGTCACAATATCATTGAGCAGTCAACCTGTCAGGTAGCAGATAGGTGCAGTGTCCCCAAAGATTCCAGCCCAAAGGCTGACACTGATGTGGATTTAATACCCATGTTCGCAGATAAAATGAGGATTATCCTGTGTCCAGAAGTGACTGTTGTGGATGCTGAATACACCTTCATATGTAAAACATGCATTTATCTACAGCATATTATGTAAAATGAGCTCATGTGCAGTGTGTTGATGTCATAGCCATTCACAGAATTTCATCTGAGAGGTTGATCATTTGGAAACAAGATGTTCACTCCTTGAGTAGTGGTATGGATGAAGTTGATCATCATGAAGTATAGGGTGGGGCACAGAAACTTCCTTTCTGTGAAGATGCATTGTGAAGGGAAAAGTGGGGATAGGCTCGGAGAACGCAGCAGTCGCGGAATTTTCTGTATAATACCCCTTAGTACGAAACATGAGGTGGACAAGTGAGCAGCATGCATTTGCTGTCGAAGCCTATTTTTTGAACAACCATTCCTACGTGGCATTCCAGCATGCATTCCGTACTCACTTCGGAATTAAGCCCAGAGGTCCGGTTCCCGACCGGAAATTGATTGATTTGTGGCTAGAGAACTTTGGGACAACAGAGAGTGTGGTGAAAAAATCATCAGGATGACAGCAGACCGTTACGACGCCAGAAAATGTGGAAACAGTTCGGCAGTCAATTTTGAGATCTCCAAGATCGCAAACATGCAGTCGCCCTGGACATATCCAATCATTCAATGTGCCGAATTCTTCACGAACATCTTCATTTCCATCCTTATAAGATACTTGTTGTGCAAGAATTGTCACCACATGATTTCCGAACCGAATAACAGCGTGCGAAATGTTATTGGAAACTTTACCCCTTGATGCACTTGTTTTCTTTAGTGATGAGGCATATTTTCACCTATCCGGATATGTCAACAAGCAGAATATGCACTATTGGAGTGGTAACAATCCCAGAGAGCTCCATGAGAGGCCACTTCACAGTGATAAGGTGACAGTATGGTGTGCGTTGTTGAGAGTTGGAGTTATTGGCCCTTATTTTTTTTAAGAAGACAATCGTGCAGTTACTGTCAATTCACAGTGGTATGTGGACATGAATAAAAACTTTTTCGAACCAGCTCTTGAAGAAATGCATATAGGAAATGTCTGGTTCCAACAGGATGGTGCCACGGCCCACAGAGCCCGAGCTTTGATGATAGTTTTGAGGGCAAAGTTCCACGGATGGCTCATCTCGCTTCGAGGTGACATCCAGTGGGCAGCGCACTCACCTGATCTAACGCCCTGTGATTTTTTATGGGGATACCTCAAGGCAGAGGTTTTTAAACATCGCCCCACAAACCTGCTTCAGCTGAAGAATGTTATTTGGCAGGAAGTAGCCCAAATTCCAGTGCACATGTTGGAACGTGCAGAGGGGAACTTCAGAAAACGGTTGCATCAATGCATAGAGAATGGTGGCCACCACCTTCAAGATATTTTATTTAAAACTTTAAAGTATGCTCATTCATTAGCTAAACATAAATTTTGTCTATCAGCAATAATTTTTCTTTTATTCGCCTTCAAAAGAAGGAAGTTTCTATGCCCCACCCTGTACTGTTGGATGCTTTGTTGGGATTGCTCTAGTTCTTGTGTGATATCACATGGACTCCTCTGCAGCTGTCATTCCACAACTGCAGTTATGGCATTTTCATTAGCTGATATCTGTGCAGTGTGTGGGTGATGTGCATGCATGTGTGCCATAGGTGTTGCACTTGCTGGCTTTGGAGATCCTGCTTCAGCCATCAGAACACATTAGCATCTAGATGATGTTGAGCAGGATAATGTAGGGTGTATTCCTGTGCAGCAGTACCAGCTTGACTCTTACCGGTACTGATGGTTATGACCATGTCACAGTATTCATTGTGAGGATATTCCATGATCATTTAGTCACAGCTGACCTGTACTGTGCACTGTGTGTCATCATGACAAATATCCCTGCTCAGAAGCATGTTACCCCGTTTGATGATGTTCATCATGAACACTAAACACTATGACATTTATGTATATTTTTTACTTCTGTTTTAGTGAGTCACAAGAATTGTGTTTCACCTTGTATAGTGAAATTGGTCAGTAGTACACAACACGCAGCACATAAGAAACATCTAGCCAAAAGCCACATATCCTCAAGCTGACATCTCCCATCTTCGGGACGAATTAACAAGGAGGAGCTTAACATTTTACTTCAAATGTTTTAAATTTTAAATATTTTAACATTGGCGTTTTAACTTGAGGGCAGTTTCGGATGAATGTGAGAATTGAACGTGCATTCAACAATCCTAACAAGTGTTGTGCTTTTACACGTCGACGTATTGTAGCAGCGGTCACGCAGCAAACATAACTGTGTACATCTTAAACAACGGCAGTGTTTTCTTGCTTGTACTATGTGCCTCTGATGATGGTTTTTATTAAACCGAAACATGTAAGGCAGAAGTGATAAAGAAGTGATCTATAAATAGTTACACTCGACGGACTTTTTATTGACTTCGTGGTCAGTAGGAGTCTCAATTAGTAGTACTAATAGCCACATAATTCTGTAGGACATTATAAGGTGCCTGATTAACTGTTCTTCCACAGCCATTTTGTCTTTTCTGCTCTCTTTCATAAAAATGAACTGAAGTCTGTACATTGATGCCCTAAATTAATATTTCGTTAATTAATTTCCTATCATCCACACACGTAAACCATGATGTTACCTCATAGATCTAGATGTAGCCATAACAATTGCTTGCATTTAAAGAATTAAAAAATGCCTTTTAAATGTGACATGGCCATCCAGTGGTAAGAGAGCCAAAACTACTGGTAGACTTGCATTATATTTTGTCTGGTCATTTTAATGTTGGTTAGTGTGGTTCAGTTTATGGGCCTCAGTTAACATCTACTTACATTTTTTGAGTCCTTTCACAGATTCTGATGAAACTTGACAGACAGCACTTACTTTGCCTGTTTGTTTCAATGTTGTTCATGTATTATGAGAATTCATGTGCCTAATTTAGCTATTACATGTGTATTTTAAATGGTTTTAACAGATTCTTATGACACTCAGTATTATAAAAAAGTATGTTTCATTTACATCAGTTCATTTTAAGGGCCTAAATGTACCTTTACATATACATTTTAGATCCTTCCATAGATTTTGATGAAACTTGAATACGACTTGTATGAGTACATTATATGAGAATTATCAGGTATATGTTTAATTTTTTTAGTTTACTTGCGCCACTTTTCAGAAAGGTCTAAATGAACACATGTGCATATCTGTAGAGAGTTCAGTGGAACTCAATACATGGCACTTCAGTCATATAACCAATACCATGTATGGGATTCACTTTAGTGCCTAATAAATCAAACATGCCATTTTAATTCCATCCATAGAGTGCATTCGTGGGATTTTATTGGCATTTAATAAAAATATTCCACATTATTTGTCACACAGATGTTTCTAGGTGATCTTGATACTGTTCACAAAGAGAAAATTTTCTGTTACCCATCTTCTTGAGTGCCATATGAATTTAGGTAATTTAGGACTTACATTACAGTAAGAAGACGAAGGGGTCTGCCTTCTGCCCCTCCCCTGCTTTGTAAGGTTTTTTGCGTTACTTCTTGCATGTTAATGTGTAGGACATGTCCATACTTCTTCACAGCTTACACAGCTTACATGATAACCTTCATTTGTCACTTACCTACCTGATTTTGCTTAGTAAACCCTGTGTATTTTGTTCATGGGCTTTCTTAATTTCTTTTAACTTGAACCCATTGATAGAGTCTTATTTAATCTCAGGCAGACCCTAGTGGCCTTGTCTCTGACCCGAATTTGTCAAAAAATCAATCTAAACTCTTGCCTTATAGATTGAGAGTTTGGAACCTTCTAGGAAAAGGCACTAAGATATCTTTGTTCAACAAGCATCAGAAATATGTTTTATTGTTTTTCCTCAGGAAGACAATATTGTGCACTCTAATAACATGGACTGTCTTGTGGAAGCCCTTGGCCAACAGCATGAGCCAAATAAATGGCATCTGTTTATTGATTCCTTCAATCTGCGTTTGGAAGTTGTGCTGCTTCAGAATGAAAATAAATGACCTTCAGCTCCAGTAGCACATGATTTTCATATGAAGAAATTATATGACATGCATCTTGGTATGAAACATTTCCTATATTATAAATATTCTTGGCATGTGTGTGTGGAGACTTTAAAGTGACTGCACTTGTTTCCTATGTGAATGGCCAGCCAAGCATGGTAGTCACCATTCAAAGGAGCATGACAAGGAGTGACAAGCATTAATCCAAGGGCAAAACTTGATGTCTGGTTAATCTAGATTAAATTTTAAGTAAAGGTGAAGGAGCAGCTTGAAGAGCATATGAAGCAGTGACAACAAATTTCCTTGGAAACTTCAAGACAGAAAATTGCAAGTCGTTTGTTGAAGAACATCCCAGTGTGTACAATAGGATCTGAAATTTTGTTAAAAATGACCTTTTTGGGTTCTTCCCAACAATCATGGGTGCTCCTGATGATGTGCATGGTGAACACTTCCATAAAGAAAAACCCACAATGGAGAAGCAATGCTAGGGCCCTAGCATGTTTGCTGAGTACTGCTGGACATTAGTAAGGGAGGCGCAGTGGGTTAAATACAAGCATAAATCATCTATAATTACATTTTAGGTGAGTTCAGTTTGCTATTTCTACTTTTATTGTCATTACTAGTTTTTTAAATTAGTCCAGATTTCATGTTTGATCACTCCAAATTGGCAGATGAAAGAAAAGTTCAAGGTAATTTTCGAGCTCAGTATTAAGAAAACTATGAGAATCCACCCATATTGTACAATGACAGAATTTTGTTTTGGTTCAATGTAATTTAAATCTCTAAAACAATATTATATCAGAGTTCCACTACTGACAAAAGTATTGCAGAGTTGTTAAAAATCCCTGTCTTGTACACATTTTGTTCATATCTGATGCAACCTGCAGAAGACATTATATCAGAGTTCCACTACTGACAAAAGTATTGCAGAGTTGTTAAAAATCCCTGTCTTGTACACATTTTGTTCATATCTGATGCAACCTGCAGAAGACATAGGGTCAGTGTGTAAGTGGGAGAAACACTGGGTTGCATCAAAATAATATGGCTATGGTGATCAACATTCCTCCAATTTTGTGACCTTTGAAATGCACAAGAGTGATGCATGTACATTTGTACAGACTAGCAATTGCATAGCGAGAGATAGGTTTCATATCCTTGTTTAAAATCGGATGTCTAAATGTAACTTCATTCCTAAGGCAGCTTCTCTGTTGTACCAGAGCTGCCTCTTGTTGTGTTATATCCACTGAATTATGCAGCAGGCTAAACCTCAATGTCAGTTTGTTTTATCAAAATTATAAGTTTTAATGCCTTTCAAGTTTCACATAATAATAATAATAATAATGTAAATTGCAACTGTGATAAACTGTTTGATACTCTGTAGTGTCTTACCTGACACTCCCTACCTATGATTTAGTAGAACACTTCAGTTGCCAGAGCTGTGCAGTCTTAATTCTGGTGGCAAAAATCTCCTTAAAACTTTCTTTTCAGTACACCCTCCCCTGCATTCTGGGCACTTAATTGAGTATCTACCAAGTTCTAGTTTTTGTTTCATATTCTTTTTTCACAGTGGGAGAGTTCATAGTGTGGCCAAAGTAAAACAAAATTTTCACTGGGAAAGAAATAACATGGGGTTTAAACTAACAAAAAGTGATGAAGAGGGAAAATGATAAAGCCTTAAGGTATAGATTCAGGTCGAAGAATTGTTTCTCTTGTCTGAGTGGTGCTCATGCTTAGGTGTAATTTATGTCAAATACATTTATATTAAATGGGAAAACTGTAAGTATACTTCAGTATGACTCAAAGTAAAATTTAACTTCGGTTTAAGAAAACAGTTTCCCAATGCCATTGTTTTTAATGTTTTACATGTGGTTCAGGCTGTGAAGATTAATTTCAGTAGTCTTGTCAGGAGGGTACAGAGTTCCTTATGTACATACAGTAATTATATAGTGGAGGTTCCATGTATTAACTTTCCATGTGATATATACATATATATTTTTGTAAAGATACTTTTGCCTTACATATTGTATTTGTTATGTATCTTCTGCTGTATACTTGAGATTGCTGTATGTGCTATACCTGAACTCTTCAGTAATAGGCATATTGTAACATTAAATAACTTTTTGTAAGTATGTGTGAAAGTAACTTCATCAGAAGGTACCTCAGTTTTGATAGTCTGTTTGCAATTATTTTCTTCAAGAAAAATTTTACTCTTCATTTTATAAATAGTGGGATGTCAGTAAAATGAACTACAGGAAATAAACAATTTATTAAATGAATATAAGTGCATTGAAAATCTTTAACTTTATTATTTGTACTATAACAGAACAAGGCTACAAGTTATGTGAAGATTGTTACTTAAAATGTACTACCACATGGTATGTCTGATACACATACTTAATTGTTACTTAAAATGTACTACCACATGGTATGTCTGATACACATACTTAATTGTTACTTAAAATGTACTACCACATGGTATGTCTGATACACATACTTAATTGTTACTTAAAATGTACTACCACATGGTATGTCTGATACACATACTTAAAGTTTTGAAACTTGGTAAGTAGAAGAAAGGCTGTAAATCCCTCTTAAAACTTAATTATTATATTTATGTGAATACACTCTCCTTTGCTACATGTCTCAATATTAGAGTGACTATAGATGGGGTTGGGATTGGTGATTGGATTTACTGGACTCTTTGATACAGTGCATGACAGGAGAGGATTATACTCGCACTTGTCTGCACATTCCACAAATCACTATAGGAGACACTAGGTCTTCTCAAGTCTGCATAATTGAATTCCTTGCATTGTAATATCTTTTCTGACTTCTGAGGAAATATGGCATCCATTCCAGCATATACTCATGCAGCATAACTGCACAATTGAACCCCTTGCATTGGAATATCCTGACTGACTTGTGAGGGAATATGGCATCCCTTCTGGCAAATATCAAGATAGCCTCATGATTATTTTCAAGTAATCTAGCCTTCATATTGTGGTGTCCCTTATCCCAGAGTACTGGGTCCTGATTGCCAATGGGAGGGACACTTGTTGCCTGAATGGTGTTGCCATAAGGCTGCGTTTGGTGAATGTGGTGTTTCTGTAGTGTTTGATGCCTGTTGGTTGAAAACCCCAATGAACAGAACTAATAACAAGTCCATTGTTGAAGAAATATTTAATACAAGTTGTAGTCATGAAGGGTAGATGCAACTGTCTTAGTCATGTAATGAAGTTTGAAATTGGTACACTGACACTGTAGGATAGAATTCCCAGAGATATTAGACAGAACCTACCAAGCCCCTGACAGGATCTGCTTATATATTCATAAATTTGGAGGAGCCCTTCCCTCTCTCTCCTAATATACTGTCACATGATGGAGTGACTAATTGGATTTATTGAACACTTTTACACATAACTTGTGACCACAATTTACAGATTATTATCACATAGACTATACTGTTCTCAGTCATGATCTTCACTACTCTGCTTAGTAATGCACAGTGGACGTTCCTCTGCTCCCAGGCTGGCAGGCATCTCACACTAACCTCCTCTTCTGCCATCTCAGGACTGTCTCATAATGCCACCTAGTCCTTGTTATATAGCCCCGGCATGGACTGCACAGAAACACTGTTTCCAGCAGTTACTCCATTATTGCATGTTACACAGCCATTAGCTAGCAATAGTTGTTTCTCTGACCCCACAGTTCTTGCTTTGAGAAAATATGCCACACTGCTCCCTCTTTAACGAGTGGTCATCCTGAGTAGCCCATCAGTGTGTCACCATTCCTTCCGTTTACACAAAGAAAATATCTGGGAGTGGCTGGTGCAGGCCTTCATTGTCTCTAGACTGACATTCATCAGGGCTTCCATCCTTAACTTACTTTCACTGCAGTCATACACTCCTCATGGTTAGCTTCTGTCTAGGCATGGAGATGAGAGCAGTAATCTGAACCTTCATTTCGGCCATCATCTCCTCATGGCAGGCTTTCATCTCAGCCAGCAGTTGTTCCATTATCTTTTCCATCTTATGCTGACAATATAACAATCTAATGCAGTCTTCAATCCTGTCTCACTTCTGACACCACCTATCACATCACGGAGAGACCACAGACAAGGTTGGATTGGTAATCAGATTTATTGGATGATTTTACTACATGTGAAGTAATGACTATAGACGGGTTTTGGATTGGTAATTGGATTTATTGAACACTTTGCAGATCACTGTCACACACAGACTAGTGATCTCAGCCACATTCTTCACTGCAGCTTCGTAACATCTTCCAACAGTGGCTGTTCCTCTGCTCGTGGGCTCACATCCTCGCAGGCTGGTGGCCATCTCACACCAGCATCTTACTCTTGTAACTGCCATCTCAGGACTATGGTCCTCATTATATAGCTCTCGCATGGACCCCAACAGTACCTCTGTTGTTACAATCAGGTGATGCCAATGAGCCACTGCATATCAAGGGGCGTGTTTGCAGAGCTGTTCCCTAGCAACGGCAGTCTCTGCTGCCTTTCAGCAGACATGCCACGATACTTTTGCATCCAGTGACCGTCATAGGAGTAGTGCTTAGCACTGCTGTGCAACATGGGTTGGTCCTTTGCCCTCTCTGTCTGTATTATCTTTTCCTAATGTATGAAGTTTTGGGAATAAGCCATGTAAAATGTTTGTGGGTTTCTGTTTCGGCAAACATAGCCAACATCCAGACCTACTGACTCTGCATCAGGGAAGCCATTCAAATGAAATACATGCATTAACTTCAACTGTGAGGATGGATATGGACTTGGTACAGCCTGGCTTCTCCTGAACTTCACCTATGTGGATCAACAGAATGGGCACACAAAAAAATTGTTCTTTACCCCCTTTCGTAACTGCATGGCCACTAATGACTTTAAGAAAATCTTTCTTCAGTAGTTCCAAAAACTCTTTCATCACTGCTTCTGCAATCTTAAATGGCTGACAAGCACAACAGAAGGTCATTCAAATACCAACACAAGGTGTTCATCTCATATTCAGACTTTTCTTTTATGATTGCTATCATTAATGTGGAAAGAGCTGAGCATGGTCTCACATTTTCATAAAATTGGTTTAAAATATTTCACAAAGTGAACATACAATACGTGCAATAAAAACTCTCAGACTAATAGTTGGTTTAATTCTGTATGTTATTGACTGGTTATATTTTGTATGCTAGTATGCAAACTGGAACATGAAGGTAAAAGTTATCCTTGTATCTAATTTATAATTAAGCACTATGTCATGAAAGCATGTGAGGTGGGGTTGAGATATATGTCTGCCGTTTTCAACATTGGTGCTAGGCGGAGGTGACTAGTCAGCTTAACACTCCTGTCATTGGAGGAGTAAAGACAGAATTACTGTACTTGTATGTGCAAATATGGATGGATCTGAAAAGACGCCATTGCTGGTACTTGAAAAGTCAGAGAAGTCAAGGTATTTCAACCATGCGAAGACCCCGCCATATACACACAGACATGGCAGAAGTGCATGAATAACTTCTGCACTGTTCATTGGGGTTTGTAACATGTTTGGAAAGAAGAATGGCAGCCAAAAGCCAGAATATACTTTTTTAGACCAGCATGCACTACCACATCCTCTGTGGCATTCCTGATGTGCCAGAGTCAGCGGTCAGAGACCTCCAGGAACAAGAAAATTTTACTTCATATTTGTTTCAAAGACCTGTAAAATAAATGATGCTAAGTATGGTCTTAAAGAAAGAATAACATTTCAGAATGGACTACGAGGGGGGACCCAAAAATAACCGGAATTTATTTTTGTTATTTTTTATTTTTGCATTTTTATTGAACTGTATATTAGTCCCCTTCAAAGTATTGTCCATGTGCATTAATGCACTTGTCCCAACGCTTTTGCCACTGCTCAAAACAGTGCTGGAATTCTTGAGGCTGGATACTGTTCAAAGCCTTTAGCGTGTTTTCTTTGACTTCATCCACATCACGGAATCGCTTTCCTTTCAGACTTCTCTTCATCCGTGGAAACAAAAAAAAGTCCGACGGAGCCAGGTCGGGTGAGTAAGGTGGATGAGGCACAATCACCATGTTGTTGCTTGTCAAAAACTGTCGGACCGTCAAAGCTGTGTGGGCTGGAGCATTGTCGTGGTGAAGCAACCAGTTCCCATTTCTCCACATTTCGGACCGTTTTCGTCGCACACTCTCTCGTAATCTTCGTAACACATCCAGGTAAAAATGTTGGTTCACTGTTTGTCCTGGCGGAACGAACTCTTTGTGGACAATGCCATTCACATCAAAAAAACAAATCAACATTGTTTTCACATTGGATCGCACTTGACGCGCTTTCTTCGGTCGTGGTGAAGTTGGAGTTTTCCACTGGCTTGATGATTGCTTTGATTCTGGATCGTACCCGTAGCACCAAGACTCATCGCCAGTCACAATTCTTTTAAGAAATTCTGGATCGTTCTGCACTTCACTCTTCAAGTCGCGGCAAACATTCACGCGGTTTTCTCTTTGGTCATCTCCGAGCAAGCGAGGAACAAATTTTGCAGACACCCGTCTCATGTGCAAACCTTCGGTTAAAATTCGCTGGACCGTGCTCCATGAGATGTTCGTTTCCTCAGAAAGTTGGTCAATGGTCTTTCGACGATCTTCATCAATTGCACGTTTGATTTTGGCAATGTTTTCGTCATTTCTTCCTGTCGAAGGACGCCTGGGGCGTGGCATGTCTTCTGTTGACATGTTGCCAGATTTGAAACGGGAAAACCACTCGTAGACCTGTGATTTCCCCAAAGCATCATCATTAAAGGCTTGCCGAAGCATCCCAACAGTCTCGGCTGCAGTTTTCCCTAACAGAAAGCAAAATTTCACGCACACTCTTTGTTCCTTCTGGTCGGCCATCTCACTAATCGCCAAAGGGTTGAAACAGGAACGCACACAACAGAGCACCACAGACAAACCACTTAACTCAGACTGACGCCAGCTCACTAACAGTCGCGGGAGACCCCCAGCTAACACCACCTAGCAGCACAACTCGTAACTACAAAGCATGCGCGTGCAACAGGTCGGTTCTGTTTATTTTTGGGTCCCCCTTCGTATTCAACTTTAACCATGACAGCATGAACATGTAGTGCATATTTCATAGCCTGTGCATTTAGTGTGTTTTTAGCTATTTGTTCAGAGGCAACATGTTCCTCTGAAACTTTGGTTCGCTTTCAGCAGTCTATATGACTTTATACCCCACAAAATAGAGAACTCTTGATAACCACCACCATGAGAACCTTAAATTGTACATATAATGTTTATTGCATTGTGTATGATTGAGGTTCTCACAATGCTCATAGCCTTGTGGAATATAACACCATGTAATCTGTTGAAACTCATCTGATATTTTGTAGGATTGTGTTGTCTCCATCTTCAAAGCTGAAGAATAAGCAAAGCAAGAAAACAGCATGAAGCATGTTGCAAGGCTTATTCTTTGACCCTGAAGATGGAGGTGACCTCTTCCTTGAAATGTCAGTTGACTTTCAGTGAACTACACAGCATTCTATCCAAGAAGACAGAACTCTTTATTCTATAAGGAATATAATTAATGTTATAAACACTCTGAAACCTATCCTTTTAAGATGTTTTTCTGCTTCCCCAGAGACCTGTTTATCCTGACTGCTGACCTTTCCACACAAAACCAATTAGCAGGTCCCTCCAAAGTAGAATTTTGTACTCTACTTACTATACATCTTCTTGTCCAAATTGATTCCTGCTCTGAGATTTCAAGTTTTCTTCCTCAAGTAACACAGATGCCATCACACATCCTACCTTTTGCACCATACTCCTGTTACCCTGGTGGTCTACAGATAAGGTTCTGCAATCCTGTTTTAAGGGTTTCAGATTTAAGATAACAATATCTGTCAAATATTTTTTCCACATGCCTTCCCAGTTCATCTGCTAAAGTCCAAATTTTGTGAATTTAGGAAATACCAGGCCACCCACCATATTGCAAATTCCAAATTAATTGGTACATTCCTGTGCTGGTCACCACATCATCATCATATTCTGTGGGCATTTCCATTCACAAAGGGAAGGCAGTTTGTTTCCAGATGAATTCTGCATTGAAACACCTCTGTCAGCCAGTGGTCCACCACTAGTTTCCTCTGATGACTGCTAGTCTCTGTGAATCAGACCTTGATCATTTCTAACATATTTGACTGAAATGGATCCTGAAAATTTGGCTTAAGTATCTTCTAACCTGACTTCCTACTGTTTCTGTTGGTTCTTTAAAAACTACAGCCACAATTTTCAAACATATGCAGCACTTATCAACCATACCTTTTAAATTCTGCATTCAGTTTTCAGATCAGCTGTAAGTATGTGTCAGTTTACATGTCAAAATTATGTACAGTGAGACCCCAGTCTCATATGTCAATGAACATAAATTTCCCGACAAAACCTATACTGTGAATAAAATATCTACTGCCTTCTTTTATCAGAATATGTTAGTTTTTTCTCTATTAGGTGTGTCATTCATTTAATGCAACACATCCCACACACATGGAATGTTTCAGTTATTCTTTATGAGGTGCAATTCAGAGAGAAAAGCCAGAACTCACTACAGAAAGCCTAATTTATCTACATATAGAATGAAATTCAAGGGTTATTTTTTTTTTTAAGAAAATGTAAGTACCTCCTTGTATATTTTATACTTTATTCCAATCTCCAGAACTTCCATATTTAAATGGCAGTATAAATACTGGAATAAAAAACATTATAAATATAACTGAGCAAGGTTATCTTATCTTTCAGTTTACCTGGAATAAAGTATTGTACCGAAATGGCATTATTATGAGAACTGTTTCTGCTTATAAAGAAGTCAACTGAAACAAATACCAATCATAACATTATCACTATCATTCTTCTAGATTGCTTGCTTCTCCAGTTTCTTCATTCTGATAATCATATTCATCTGCTATGTGTAGTCCTGAAAACCGAACTATTTTTGCTTTATCTATCTTCAAAGTTTGGGCCCACTGTCGACCTGTAACAATAATATGTAATGTGGAAATTGTTTTCAAGTAATGGACATGAAAACCAAAATATTTCCAAGTCACAGCTTTTCATTGATCAAAGATTCAGTAATGTCATGGACATTAAGCAAGATAAAAAAAAGTCCCAAGTTGTAACAAATACAGTTGATGTAGCACACTTAAACCAAAAAACAACACCTGGTGTAGTAGAACAGTCAATCGTAATACCCTGACCTATGCCTGAGGTATAATATGTGCCCTGAATGACTGGGGTTTGATTCCTGACAGGCATTGATCTTTTTATTCACCATACTGGTAACAGGGACTATTTCAACTGATGCAACGTGGGTTGGGCATGAAGCTGGCCACATCTCCATATAATGAAGACCTTATGAATGTGTGAATATCTCCACTCCTCCATACATCTTCATGGTGCAGTGCTAAATTAAGCACCTGAGCAGCTTTACTTATTTTTTTTACCTAACTATAAATATTATATGTGGGTAAATATGAAACAGAATTGCCTCTATTTTAATCAAAGAATAACATTACCATCTAGTTCCTTCAGTATGTTTATCAAATTTTCTTCATCTTTATTCTTGATCTTCATATAATGACACCATATTATAAAGTAGTTGAAATACCCATTAATTTAAAACTTACCAGGTGGGATTGAAGCCTCGGCTTCAGATTTATAGCCATAATATCGAGCCCAGTCACCACGTCCAGTAAATAACATGTAACATACAAATCCAAATGCATTCCATGCAAGTAGCATATACACAATAGATAATTTCTGTTTAATAGATGCAGCTCTATCTACTGGTACTGGATTTGTATGTCTTCTAACTAAACGCCGAAGCCACTTGAAGGATATCATTATACACCTACCTGTTAAATAATCAGTGACAAAAATAATGAGTTACTGGTGGAAAGACCAGTGGTTGGAATATCAACAGTTAACAATGACAACAACAATAAAAATGTTTATAGGATAACCTATATTAAACACAATGTATGCAATTAAAATTAGAGTAAGCATGAAATATGAAAGTAAAATTCAAAATTACACACACAGTATGATGAAGGGTATCGCGTGTTATCACAGTCAGTTATACGAGGGTAAGTCAGAGATTATCCGCACTTTCTCCATAACACATCTTTAGGTTTGTCACACTGCCTCCTACGCATGCATTGTTAGAGTTGGTACTACTGTGGTCACGTGATCGAAGTTTTACCTTGATCGCATCATTTTCCTTGATGCTGTGACAGTGTAAACATGGCCGCTCTGCTAGCAGTGTGCACCAATGATTAACAAAGAATAGGGATCCAATTTCTCTGATTGGAAGGTGTGTCAGGAGCTGAAATTCATATGTGGGTTCATCACTATGAGCCAGAATCCAAAAGCCAGAGTATGGCATGGAAACACCCAGGATCACAAACGAAGATGAAATTCAAGACTCAATCTTTCGTGGGAAAGGTGATGCTAACCATTTTTTGGGACTCAAAAAGGCCTATACTGGAAGACTACCTGGAAAAAGGGTGTACGATCAACAGTACAAGATACAGTGATTTGCTGGCCAACAATCTGAAGCCAGCAATTTGCACCAAATGCCGAGGCCTATTGTCGAAGAAAGTGTTGTTGTTGCATGACAATGAACACACACACAAGGACGGCCAGACCATTGAAACCATTAACCATTTGTGTTTCGAGGTGCTGGAACACCCTGCCTACAGCCCAGATCTCGCCCTTTCCGACTATCATCTCTTTGGACCGCTCAAAGATGTTTTACGAGGTTTTTGATTTTCTATGGACAAAGAAGTGGGGGAAGCGGTGCATAAATGGTTACGCAACCAACCGAAAACCTTCTTTGTGGAGGGAATACGCAAGCTTTTGGACCGCTGGACCAAGTGCATCGAAAAGGGAGGAGACTATGTAGAAAAATGAAGTACCTGTTCAACCCCTACTGTTCTATATATGGATTGGAAAAACAAGAATGCAGATAATTTTTTACTTCCCTACGTATAATATTGAAAGCAATGAACCTGACAACATAACAGACATAAGCAACATAAGCATACATAAGCAACTACTCAAGGAAAAGAAAAGTATATACAACCAAGTAACAGTGATGTAGAAAACACTGTATGATACCAACATCATACTGACACAAGATAGAAACAACAGAAAAACACTTCACAAATATCTTGCATAAGACTGAAATGGACCCAGTCCCAAAGACTGGTCAGAATAATAGACAGTTCCAGCCTGTCATGACTGCAGACACCTTGCATGCAATGCAAAAATGCGTATCCCAAGAAAAGCAACAGGACCAAATGATGCATCAATTGACCTCCCAAAAGACTCTTTCTTGTATGATAGAAATATCATCATCATCACTGGCACAACAGCCCTTTGTTAGCCCTGGCCTTCCTATGACAGAAATATGGACAGTGATAGAAGTGTGTTCTATCCCATAAATTTGGGAATCTGGAGTGCTTAAAAGTTCTGCATAAGAGCAAACAAAGCACAGACTCACCAACCTCATCCAGAGGCTTCACAGTACAATGTGGGACTCCAGAAGTTTTATGGAAATACTACATGACAATGGTCAACAAACTGAAAGGACAGAGGTTCTCATCACAGTGACCATAGATTATGGTCTGGTACTGCTCCTGTCCATCCCTATAATCAGGACCACTTTCTTTCATGCTCAGCTTACTCTTCTACCTTGAAGATGGAGGCTGCACATGCCTCAAAAATGTCAAACATGATGTACTGGACGTGGCATAACATTTCGGAAGATAATTTTCAAAATGAAAGAAGTTACCTCAGATGAACAATACAGATTCATGTCAAGGTGATCTACTGCACAGGCTGTGAGAAATGTTCAGCTGGTACAAGAAGCTTCAGCAAGGCCCAAAAGACATGAGTGATGCATTCATGGACTACACCAAAGCAACAGATAGGACAAAAAGAACAACCTTAATAAATGTAAAACAAGTGAAACTATCACCATAACAGGCCATGGAGGCCCATAGGGTTGTGAGACATCAAAGGCTCTCACATTTTCTAGACAACTGGCTCACAGATGGCAGTGAAGTTGTCAGCCTCATGTGCCATCCACCCTTTACCATCAGGAAGATTCCTGGTACTCATTTCTGTTAGAGGTTGACTTGTCCCCAAGGCCACAGTGTGGCTGGAAAAATTAGGTCAACTGAGAAATCCAGTGACCTCATTGGGAATTAAACACACAACCATCTTTCTTGTAGCATAATGCCTCAAACAACTATGCTACCACGTGCCCCGAACAACCTCAATATGTAAATAAAATGAAATTCTGGTAGCCTTAAATTGCTACAAAATATATTTGAATACAATATAATCAGGCTAAATGATGGATTAATAATGTTCAAAGAAACCTGTCAGACATACACATTGTGTCCAGGATCTGTTACGACTGTGTTCATTAAAACACAAGATTTGAATTACTTTCAAAATTTCACCCTTTTTATTCAAAATAGTCTCCTTATGAATCAATACATAGCTGGAATTGACTGAAAAGTTTTCGAAAACAGTCACTGTACTCCTTTTGTGGAATTGCATTTAAGACTGCAGTACATTCCCTTTGGATGTCGGATGGTGTCGTGACAGTCTCCTTTCATCAACAAATTAACTTTTGGGAACAACCAGAAATCTGCTGGAGCCAAATCTGGCGAATATGGAGGATGATCAAGAACTGTGATCCCCTTTCTGGCCAAAAAATTGCACACAATCTTCGATTTGTGGGGTGGGGCACTGTCGTGGAGGAGTGACTAGGAACCTTGCTCTAGATATTCAGGTCGAATTCGAAGAATTCTCGCCCACAAAAGATTGAGGACTCCGAGATAATCAGAATTCACTGTCTGACCTTCTGACAGAAATTCCTTGTGAATAATTCCTTTGGAATCGAAGAAAACGGTTAGCAATGTCTTTACTCGACTCTTCTGCATGCGCACTTTCTTTGGTTTCGGCTTCTTTGGGCTCAACCATGCTACACTCTGCCGCTTTGTGAGAGGCTCATATTGAAAACACAATATCTTGTCACTAGTAACAATCGATTTTGTAAATTCTGAATCACTTTGGGCCGACTGTAACATGTCTTTGCACTCTGGCATGTTGTTCATGGCTTGACAGTGCATGCAGTACAAACCAGACACAGACCTTCCGTTTGCCCAAATCCTTGGTCAAAATTTGATGCACAGTACTTTTTGGTATTCCCAAAAGCTCCTTGATGAGTCTTGCAGAAACACATCTGTCTGATGCAAGGATTTCGGTCACTTTTTTCACATTTTCTTCAGTGCGACTTTTTCTTGGCTTTAATGCACATGGAGCATCTTCAATGTCCTCCCTGCCATCATGAAATACAGCATACCATTGAAAAATGTTCGAGCGACTCAAACAATCACTACTTTTCATCATTTCATGCGCTTCTCCGGCTGTTTTGCCTAACTTCAAACAAAATCTGATGTTGACTCTCTGTTCAACCGCCATTTTCCAACAAGTGTCAGAACACATGCTGCAGCGATGCTTGCGCTTTGAAATTACAGACAGCCACAGCTGAAACTTCAAGAATCTTAATGCCACAACTTGCCAACAGATGGCATTGCAGGGCAAAATAAAAAGAAAAGTCCTAACGGATCCTGGACATACCGTGTACAGTGTTCTGCAAGGTATGTTTATATACTGATGATAAAATACTTCAGTCAGAGAACAAAGACACATTAAAATGACCCTGAATAACCTTGAGGTTGGTCTCATGAGACCAAATTACTCATACATAAACAAGGAATGAAGTCATTGAAAATTCACAATGAAAGTGATATCTTCAAAGATTATGTAAAAATCAATATAACTTGTACTGCATGTCATCAAATACAGCCATTAGAATTAACTCAGTGTATAAGGTTTTCCTTGTACAATTTATTGTTACTTAAGTATTCAAGAAACTGCTAGTTATGGCATCTGAAACTTCACAACTGGCCCTGCAAAAGCCTGTCATTTGAATCTTACTTTGAACCAATTAAATCCAGTTTGCATCTTTATCTTATATTTCTCTGAGATTCATAATATAATGTAATATAAAAGTTGCATTTGACAGTCTTTGGTCGTTAGCAGCATTAAAATAAAACAGTGTGAATAACATGCAGGTACTGATTAGTTATAAATGTTACTTGCAAATATATTTTCAACACCAGCATTACATGTATGAATGAAAATATTAGTAAAAAAATTAAAGTATTTCAAACATCACAAAAGTTCTGATTTAAGATTACTTGGTCTGAAATATTTGGGAATGTTTTGACAAGAAATCTTTGCATATGCTGCCATCACACTGCTTTCCAAATGCAGCAGCCAATTCATGGGATATTCAGAAGTGATAGAAAATGCACTAAAATTTAAACATTAAAATCAAAACCTTATAAATAAATGCTGTTATATTTCATGTCATAGTTATGCCAATGGGAAACACTGTATTACTTTACAGTGTTTATAGTATTTACAGGGTTTATAGTACTGCTGTGATTGTTGCTTACAACACAGTCCTACCAACTTAATTACTTACTATGGAGCTGAGACCTTGAGGAGAAGCCAAATCTGCAGCTACTTAAGAATTTCCCAGCATTTTATGGAACCCGAAGTATCATTATCATGTTCACGAGAGCCCTCCATTGCCCTGCATTTTGGTGACGAGACAGCAACATATACTTAGTTTTCTCTGTGTTTACTTCTAGACCAACCTCCTTACTTGCATCATTTAAAGTCTGTGTGTTTTGCTTTAAGGTATCTATATTATAACCCAGTAGATTCACATCATTGGCACAGACCAACATCTGATGTGTCCCCTTTAATTTCAGTTCCACCTGGTTTTCCTTGACCTTCCTAATGGCATATTCTAAAGCAAAGTTGGAAGGGAGTGGCAATAAAGAATCTCCTTGTCTTAGACCATTCTGGATAGGAAATTTATCAGACAAATGTTTACCTATACAGACTTTACTATAACACATTTTAATCAGCTTAACTAGTTCAATGGGTGTCCCAAAGTCTATCAGAATATTGTACAATACTTGACTCCTAACTGAATCATATGCTTTCTTGAAGTCTACAAATAACTGATGTACTGTCTCATTGTACATCCATTTTTTCTCAAATATCTGACGAATGCAAAAGTTCTGGTCTGTAGGTGATTAGTTGATCTGTTACGTCGAAACCCATGCTGATGATCCCCGATAATTTCATCTATGTATGGACTTTCAACCTTAAAAGGGCTGGGATCAGGTATTAATGACTCAGCTGTGTGCACTTCTATGTGCCTAACATCACTGACCCTATGTACATTCAATAACTGTGAGAAGTAGTTCTTCCACCTATTTAAAATGTTGTGAGAATCTGCAAGCAGATTCTCATCTTTCACTAAGTTACTTCTAGGTTGGTAACCCCTCTTAAAATTATTTGTTCTCTATAGGGGATCTCTAATGTTCTTGTTCTTACTGTTCATTGCAGGGTCATCAATTTAGTCCTACCAACATGCAAACAAAAAATGGGAGGCAGTTATGCAAAAATTTAACAGATTAATTAATTCAACAGTTTGTTAATAAAGTAAGATGATGGATGACTACAATTGATTTTTCACACATGTTAGAAAAGTATGCACATCTTCACCTACAATAACCTCACAATTTTTAAACACGACTCAAAATATGTCAAGTTTCCGAACAGGGTCATGATTCCCTACTACACTCAGACATTACAACTAGACTCTCATAAACATTATTAATGACATATGACTTCTCTAAACTAAGAACACTTAATAACCAGGAATATAATGTCAAGTAGCCCGGTGGAAATGAAATGCCTTAGTTTTCACTGTCGATGTGTAGGCCAATCGAGAAACGCAACAAGCACTCCATTTACGGTTTCCGTTTTCCTAAACGCCAGCGAACTTCTAATTGCTTCTAACCGTTCTAACCTTTCTACACCCCGACGGCACCTTACACTCCATATAAGCTATAATTATTCATGGTCACTACCGGTCACTACTGCGAGAAGCTCAAATCCAACGAAACCTAAAATAACTTTAACCTAACGGGATTTCCTCATCACAAACTTGTTACAAATCTTTTATAATATACTGAAATTCGAAAAGTTATATCAAACAGACGCATTCCATTGGTTAAACACGATATCTTACTGCACTTCTCATTGTAGTTTATGGAAACGTTTACAATAGTGTTATACTTACTTACGTACTTACTTACTTACTCACTCATGGAGCTGAGCCCTTCTGGAGGAGCCGCCAATTCTGCAGCTACTCAAGAATTTCCCAACATTTTATGGAACCCGAAGGTTCATTACTGTGTTCACAAGAGCCCTCCAATGGTCCCTATCCTGAGCCAGATCAATCCAATCCATCCCATTCCATCCTATATCTGTAAGACCCATTTTAATATTGTTCACCCACCTACGCCTTAGTCTTCCCAGTGGTTTCTTTCCTTCTGGCTTTCCCACCAATATCCTGTATGCATTCCTCGTCTCACCCATTCGTGTTACATGCCCTGCCCACCTCATCCCCCTTGACGTGATCATTCGAATTATACTTGGAGAAGAGTACAAGTTATGAAGTTCCTCAGTATGCAGGTTTCACCAACCTCCTCTCACTTCATCTCTCTTCGGTAATAGTTTTATACACCTGAAGAAATTTTATAATGAATTATTTTAATGATTCTCGTTGCAATAACTATGATAAAATGCCACACTATTAATAAGGGCCAATACTGCACTATACTGTCCTACTATCCTTGCCATAGACGAGAACGACGAGAATTATCTCTGCTGAGAAATCAGCTGATTGCTGTGTTTCAAACATGGCGCTGTTGTGTTGTGGTGGAATGACAATATTTTGCTTATTTTTTATTAACACTCGTTTTAGCAGATAATATATGGTGGGCATGAAACGAATGTTTTAATTCAGAATTAATGAAGAACATAAAATGGGCAAACTATGTTACTATCTGCGCCATGGAATTCTGAGTATTGTCACAGGGCTTCTACACGAAGACGAACATGTTGATCCCGTGGAAAGGGCTGTTGTAGAGAAGTTACTTTGGTGTGCTGCTAGAGATACGCATAATGAATGGTGATGCATTTTTAATCATCATTTATATAATATATGCAGTTCACAATTTGCAAAGATTTTTCGGCATCTGTTTTTAGAACCCAATTTACGTTTGCAGAATTGTGTCCAACATTATTTTTCCATAGGTAGGAGGGAGGGAAAAGAGAAAAGCAATCTTATACAGTAATGAATGACACAGTACTAAGAGCTAATGTATATATAATATTGAACTGCTAAGTAGTATTCAATTCAATTCAATTCATTTATTTCATCCATAGCTGTAGAAATTACAATTGGACATGTCAGATAACAACAACATTACATCAAGCATAACATTCAAAGTACATGAATATAGAATAATAAATAATAAATACCTAAGACTAGAGAAAATATTTAAAACATATATACAGATTGTTTACAACATACAAACAGACTATTTAAAACATATTCCCGTACATATAAATAATACATCATAAACAGCATTGAATGCTGTTTATGATGTGTACAGCTTCCGTGCCTTACTGTATATCTTAACATTTTTAATATGAATGCAATACTTTGCGTTCGAATGTTTAGCACTCGTATTCCGGAGGCCCTGGGTCAAATCTCGGCCTGGAAACCAGCTTTCATGACAGGTCTTTTTATATTTTTCCTCAGTCTCAAGCAAATCTGGCATTGCGTCTCAAATTAGGATATGATTTCTTCCTTCCATATCCTTTCCATTTCATTATTTTGTAATTAAGCTGTTGTGTTGTTGCTAGATACACCACAGATAATAACAATAAGAGAAATGTGTGTGCTCCCAAAAGTTCATATTTTATGCATGCTTTCTTTGCTATTTTGTGTACCTCATTGGTCATCATGGTCATTTACTGTGATAAAAATCTGTTACTACACAGCCAACTGACAGTACAGATATGAAGCCCCACGAAATAAAGAAATGTAATGAATGGTAGGCATACCACGCTGCATAGAGAGATTGATAACTTTCTGTTTGCATTTTATTAAATATACGCTATATGTACATACAGGTATCCCTCAGTTTGCGAATGTAATTTATTCCATGAAAACTGTTCACAAGGTGAAATGAATCAAAAATAAAATATCAATTACTTTATTGTAAAAGTCACCTTGAAACATTAGCTGTTCAATGTGGCACAAATGAAGTATGGTGAGTGAAAAATAGGTACATATTTGTTGATTTTCTTTGTGTCATGTTTACATATCACTTGACAGCCATATTGGATGAGAAGAAACTTTTTATTATAATACAAAACAAAAACAAATGAATATAGATCAATATTACCAACTTTAACATTTTTACATTACTACATTCTCAACATTCCTCTTTAATTTCAAAATGTTATCAACATTATTAGCTGTTTTACAAAGTTAAATTGAATAACACTTAGGAATTTTGGTCTTCAGATTACAAAATTAGTACACATTATTAAAATGTTCTCAGTCTTATCAAAATCAGACTTATTTCTTCTTAAGTATAATGTCTGTAATCTTGCTAAATTTCTCTGGTGATAGCAGTTTTGTTAAAATGTCTGCCACCTAAGTTTCACTGTTAAATATTTGATTGAGAACAGTTTCTCTTTGAATTGTTCACTTATGTAGTGACACCTAATGTCTATGTGCTTACTCCTACGCTTTACTTGTCCAAATTCTATTAGCTTGATTGCACTCTGATTGTCGACACACAGTTCAGATTCTGCCCTTTTTCCTGCCAACTCCTCTATCAATGTCTTTAGATATTTCAATTCTTTACAGCACTCAGCTTCTGCAATATATTTGGCCTCAGTGGTTGATAATGCAAGAATACTCTGTTTCCTAGAGCACCATGATATTGGGCCCCCTGACATCATAATTACATATCCCGTTACACTCTTCCTATCCTTTATCCCCTGCATAATCAGCATCACTAAATGCTTCCAGGTCTTGGAGTCAGGTGAGGTATATTTTATTCCTGAATCTCGTGTACCTTTCACATACCTAAGGGTCCTTTTCACATTTTGAACAGCTATTACTACCGTCCCTCTTCTCTTTGTTTGCTCGTCATTGCTCCGGCCGCTCCTTTCCTCCTCGAAGTTGCTACGGCTACTCCTGCTTGCCGCTCCGCCCACCTTTACCCTTCCTTGCAATTTGGGTTCCGAAGTAACCAGGTTGGATTTAGGATAATGGTAGGCATGGATCTCTTTCTCAGGTCGATAACAGGTCTTTCTTCGAAGAAACTTCAACACAACAAACCCTTGGCTTTACAACCTTAGGTTTAATTTACTTATTCTTTGTCACAATCACTAATCTATCATTTTCAATTATACAGCACTCACTATTTATAATAGTTACATTGGCACTGTCCCGCCTACAAAGGCAATTCTATGGGGAAATAGCCATTGCCTCCACTCACGAGGAGTGTATCTTATCAACTCTTGCCTACCACTGGCTTGGCGATGCTAACAGACCTAAGGGCCTTCCCAGCACCACACCCTAGATGACATCATTCCCCACATCAATCCGGGGATCCACCGTCCATTCTCCAGCTACAAAACTGCACATACAAAATAATGCCGTGATATTGTCACGTAGGCACCTCCCTTCCAGGGCCTCACACATTGAAGTCCACTAGTGATCGGTTACACTATTTTGTCAAGATTTTCCAAGTTTTGACTTTCCACATTTACAGCTAATGCCAGATATAGCAGGCTTCCTACAGCTTCTCTGTAAAGAAATCTTGTGTCATTTTCTCCTTCCTCATTTGTTGGATTGGTCGTGGCCATGGGTGTTTTCATTTCTCGACTTTCTTGCAAGTTGTATTTTTCCAACATTTGGCTTGCATAGTTGGTTTGAGAGATATGTATCCCATCTGGTTGCCTCTCAATTTGTATTCCTAAATACACATTTGGATTTGTGGTTTTTATTATCTGGAATTGATTTTCCAGTTTCAGCAAAATTTCCTCTATTTGTCTTTCATCCTCTCCCATGATTTTCCCGCCATGAACAAACTATTGGCATCATTCTTAAAAATGCATTGGTCAGATTGTAGTTGGTTTAGACCTTGTTCCTTTAGAAAGGTTGTCAACTTCTCGTTCCGTTGCGATGATGCTTGTCTTAGGCCATATAATGCCTTTTTCAGGATACGTATCTTGCCAGTGTTCTTGTATCCTTCTGGTATCTCAATGTAGTTTTCCTCCTCAAGGTCTCCATACAGGAAGGCAGTCTTCACATCAAGGTTTCCATGTTCATATTCTTACCTGCTGCTATGGCAAACAGTACTCTAAGAGAATTCATGTCAACAACTGTGCTAAAGGTATCCTTGAAATCTGTTTCCCCTTCCTTTTGTTGACATTCTCTCACAACCAGTCTGGTTTTGTGTCTTCCATCATCCTTTGTTTTGAAAACCCATTTACTGGTCAGAATTTTCTCTCCAACCATCCGTTACATGCTTTGAATTCAGTCTTCCCCAGTTTTTCAGCAACTTTTTTAGCATATTCCTGTACCATAGAACCTGACAACGGGGGATTTTTCGCCCTCACACTAACAAACCACCCCCACACTATTTCATTAACGTCTTCGTTTGCAGTTTTCTTAAGTTCTCTTTTTATTTTTCCATTAGTACAAGTTTCTCACCACTTCAAAATTTCCATTTTCTTCTTTAGAATCTCATACACTTGAGTTTTACCAACATTAAACATTTTCATGATCTGCTTAACAGACAATTTATCTCACTCACTCACATGAATCACTTTTAATCTTGTGTTAAGATCAAGCACAACTCTTGTCTTTGTAGCCATGATGAAAACTGCTAGACTAAAGTAAAACTGTAGGCCTAGAGCCCTTACTGAATACAATTTCCAGAAGGGGAAAACAATTATGCTGAATCTCAGTGCAGGTAGTGCAGTACCATTAGAAGCTTATTTTAAAGAGTTAGGGAAAACAAAATTCTGTAGAATGTATAGAATGCCTAAAATTATTCTAAACGATGCATTCCGGAAGACTGGAAATTTTCCGTATAAAGGCTTATTTTAATTTCCGTTGTCCGCGTTAGACAGATTCCGTTTAATCCAGGTTATTTAACATCTTTTTCAGCCTCAAAGTCAAGGGACCTGAAAATATTTCCGTTTAAGACAGATTTCCGTTTAATAAAGGGTACATTTAAGGTAGGCTTTACTGTAAATTGGAACAGTACAGACCAGAAATTTGTCTTTACTATTATAAAAGATAAACTCCCTGTGAAGCTTTCATATTATCCACCTTGTACAAAGAGCATACAGAAGCATAAATATGTACATAAACTGAACATAAATAATTCATATGTTTAAAATAATGAGTTGATTTGTTTCAGCATTTCATCTCGAATTCTTAGATGTCCATGGCATAAAAGTTGGCTGGCTGCAGTACTTATCCAGACCGCAAAACTTTTTGTCGCTGATGGGAATATTGTGACAATGAATGAAGTGGAAGTCATGAAAAAAGAAACAGAATTCCATTGTATTTTAAACAGTTTACCACAAGCCAAATCACATTGTAACATCCTTGAGGTATGTACATACATACATAGATACATAATTTCACAGATCCATTGTCCGGAAACCGGACCGGATATTGAATTCATCAGCAAAATGACATTGCAAAATGCAGTCTAGTCTCAACAATTAAAATATTCAAGAATTATAAAATAAAAACACAATAATAAAATAAAAAGCAGTCATATAACAAATCTAGATAATACATAATCTTGGAAAGACAACAATAATGTATTATGCTTGCCTGTATGCCATTTATTCATCTACCGAATAAAATGCATTTAAAATAAGATAATCTTTTAGCCTTTGTTTAAAAGTATTAATATTGTCTTTCAAAGAATATATATTGTATGGCAAGTTATTAAATATTCTAATGGATGAAAAATGCACACTCTTTTGAATGGAAGATAATCTCACAAAGGAAACATGTAGTTTATTATGCCACCTAGTACTTAATTTGTGTATGCCATTATTCACCTGATACATATCAGGATTTTTGAGTACAAACAAGACTATGGAATATATATATAAACAGGGGACAGTAAGTATGCCCGTTGTCTTAAAGCCTTCCCTACATGAACTCCTTGGCCCTAATCTTAACAAGACTCTTAATGCTCTTTTTTGTACAGTAAATATACTTTTCATTAATGAAGAAGAGCCCCAAAAAATGATATCGTAATTAAGTTGAGCCTGCACATGAGAAAAGTAAACCATACGTAAAACTTGTCCACTCACCGTAGGCTGCAATTTTCTAAGCATGAAAATTGCAGTACTTAATTTTTTTGTTAAATTATCGGAATATTGTTTCCACTTGAGATGACTGTCAAGGCACACACCCAAGAAATTAACACTTTCATCAATATTAAGAACTTGATCGTTATATTCCACATGTAATGGATAGTCCATGGTCATAGGCGTAGTAAATTTAATTACATGTGTCTTCTTTAGATTAAGGACTAATTGATTATTTTGAAACCATTCATAGATATGATTCATTATTTTATTTATTTTATGATTCAATGTGGTGATGTCTTTTGAGGAAACAATAATGGTGGTATCATCCGCGTAAAGAATGGTATGAGCCAAACCATCTAGAGTACTTGGCAGGTCGTTAATGTAAACATTAAATAGTAATGGTCCCAAGACAGAACCCTGGGGAACACCATGTCTGCAGGTTACCCATCTAGAAAGAAAGGTGGTTGAGTCATGAGTGTGTAATACAGTTCTCTGTTTCCTATTATGTAAATATGATTTGAGCCATTTCAAAATACATCCTTTAATACCATAATGTTCTAACTTTTGGATTAGTAGGTTGTGCTTAACACAATCAAAAGCCCTTGTAAGGTCACAAAATACACCTACCACTAGTTCTTTGTTATTCCATGCCTTATAAATAGCTTCTGTTAGTTTGAAGATAGCATTTTGTGTAGATATACCATTTCTGAATCCAAATTGCCCATCCACAATAATATTATTGTTTGTCAAATGTTGTTTTAGTCTATTAAAGACTAATATTTCAAATAATTTAGAAAAACCTGTCAATAAAGAAATAGGCCTATAATTAGATATTTCAGATGTATCACCTTTTTTAAAGCATGGTATAATGTTAGCGTATTTTAGTCGATCTGGGTATATACCTGTTGTTAAGGAAAGATTGTAGATGTGAGTAAGGGGCTTAACTATCTGCGCCCCACATAACTTGATAATTTTATTAGACAACCCATCGTATCCACTAGAGGTCTTATTCTTTAATGAAAAAATTGTGCTTAAGACTTCCGCTGAAGTAATGGGAACATTAACTATATCTGGATAGCTGCCAAAAAGGCTACATCTAATTGTGGGATGTGCACCTTCATTGTTAGGAAACTGACTAATTATCTGATCTATTGAGTCTATGAAGAATGTGTTAAAAGACTCAGCTGCTGTATTTATGTGGATTGTTTTCTTATCACATCTTAATTCTGTGGGAATAAACTTCTTTTTGGAAGCATGACCCACTTCGTTGTTAATAATTTTCCATGACACCTTGGATTTGTTAGTGGATTCGGTTAACAAATCATTATAATACATTTCTTTTGCTTTATAGATGACCTTTCTTAATATGGAACAATATCGAGTATAATACTCTTTTAATTTAGGACAACTAGTTACTCTACTCATCATGTAAAGATATTTTTTACGCCTACAGGACACTCTAATTCCATTAGTAATCCACTGATTATTATACACAGTATTTACCACAGATTGCATAGGAAAACATGATTCAAAATTAACTAAAAAGGTACTCAAAAATTTATTAAAACTAGCATTAACATCTGTGTTATCCAGGGTACCGTCCCATTCCTCATTGTGTAACATGTCAATAAATTTTAAGACTCTAGACTTGGTTATTAGTCTTTTCCTAACAAGCCTATTGTTCTTTACTTGAGATTCAAAAACATTATTTATCATCAAGTATTGTGCATCATGGTCTGAGAGCCCATTCATTACCGAATAGACTTGAACAGTGTTTAACCTATTATAATCCAAAAATATATTGTCTATAGCAGTGCTAGATTCTTTGGTTATCCTTGTAGGGAAGTCGACAACGCGACATAAATTATATGTATACAAAAGTGAGATTATCTGGTGAACATTGTTTGAATTACTTAAAAAGTTTACATTAAAATCACCACACAATATAATTTCTAACTTAGGCTTATATAAAAATTTTAAAATTATTTCTAGTTGATTGACAAATTCTTGGATGTTACCACTAGGAGATTTATAAATACATAAAAGTATAAAAATATTGTTACCAATTTTCATCTGAATTGCACAAGCCTCTATGACCTTTTCAATACAATATTTGGAAATATCCGCTACATTACAGCTCAGATCGGATTTACAGTAGATGCATGCTCCACCTCCAATATTATATTGACGTGAAAAGTTGGAGGCCAAATAATAATTTTCAGGTTTTATTGTTAATAATTTCTGCTCTACCAAATAATGTTCTGTGATACAAATAATGTGTGGACTTAAGTCATGGCCATACAGCATACAGGTCAGTTCAACAATTTTATGCTGGAGCCGTCTTATATTTTGTTGAAATACATTTAATGTTTTAAGCTTAGGCTGAGATTTATTCAGTCCCCAGAAATTCTGATGGTATATCTTGAAAGAGTTAACTGCAGGAACATGTTCTACAGCCTCACAACCTATCTGAGATTGAGTATTTATATGTAGGGTGGCAGTGGATGAGTTGGGGGGAGTGATCTGAAGTATATCGGGTACCTTGTGAATATCATTTACCATAAAAAAGCATTTTTCCTGGTCACTGGAACTTTCTTTTGCCTGTTTGATGTTCTGGGGCAAGTTTCTACGGGATCTAAGGTGACCAGTTGGTTAAATTCATTCTCGCTATTTATGAGGATTTCGTTTCTGTTTACAGGTACTATGGTGGTATCTCCCTTTATTTGATCATTTTTCCATCCTAAGCTAATNCTTCTATCTGGGTGTCTGAAACTCAGTACAGAATAGTATAGGAGGTTATTTGAGAGCCTGCCATAAATTGTTAGGCCACTCCAGTGGAAGAGGGACAAGCTCCTGCCAACTCTTTCCTTTCATGTACAGTCCTGCAGTGCAGTGTACAAGCCTACAGGCCAATAGATCACAATCCACTCAGATCACAGCAGATGCCATAAATGGTGACTATTGTTATGCATGCATTCAATGCACTGCCATAAATTATTCACATTCCTGTGTTGAAGTTATTTTTTTAAAACCAAGCAAACTTGAAGCTTGAAATTCTAAAACCCATTCTGCTCTGTAAGGCATCTGAGGGATTTCTGAAGAGAATGTTCAAATTTAGCAGTGAGTTTGCCCACTTTCTCTTTAATTGGCATGTGGAATGTTGATTCAGTTCTTGTCCAGTAATGGCTCTTTGTGTCTCAATTTATTTACAAGTGTATGATTAGTTTTTTTCTGTTTGGAATTTTAGGATCTGAAATTTATCCCGGGATATTATTTTACCTACACAACCACTTTTCACATACATATTGTGACATGACGCCCTAAAGCTGGAATTGTGAAATCCGAGGATATGTCCATTGCTAGGCAACTGCTCAGTAAACACATTCCCATGGCAATGAATACACAAGCAACAATCGAATAACTTCTGTTGCTATGCAACAACACTGTAAACATGCCATCTCAAAAATAGAGAGGCTGTTGTTTTCTGTATGGTCCATGCCGAGGAGCTATAAAAAGGACAAAGAAGGTTGTTGGTTGAGTTTGGAGATGACAGCCTGCCAGCAAGTGAGCTTGGGAGCAGAAAAATAGAATTGAATCAAGTCTTTGGGGTTGGCAAGTTGCAGAATAATGGCAAGAAAGGAATTAGGCTGTGCAAAAAAGACTTCATGTGTGATTTGAACTGACAGTGAGACTGTCATGAAATCCATTGCCAGGATATGGCTAGTGAAGACTGAGAACCCTAATGCATTTGTAATGGTGAACTGTAAAGTGTGGAGATTAGTAGTAGCACTGTAATTGCCTGTAGTTCCGAATTGAATGTATAAGATGGCAAAAAATCTGATTCAACCAACCCGAAAACCATCTATAAGTCATGCACCCCCCTGTTCATGACAGTATCATACATGTTCACTCATTGTTCTCACATAACATCACATAAGGCAAATACAGTACCAATAGCAATGTGACACTCAGGATTTATCAGTGGGTGAGCACATAACACACAACCTTTTTTCACACTAGCTGCTCAGTTATTTACTGGGATGATATTCAAGAACAATTGTAATCTGTATATGCTTTTGGGTATTTACATAAAAACTGGTTACCCAAATAAGTTGTTGTTTGTCACATTAATGCTACCAGCCATAGAAGTTTATTAGTAACAACTAAATCCAAAGACTAACTTTAGAAGGCTTTCAAATATTTATTTCCAAAATCAAAAGCCCAATCTTGTGGACTTGTTGGAGGCAAATACTAAGGTCAAGCTTTAAAACCTGTATTTAGAAGTAAACTTCAAAGGTTAGGTTAGCAGTGCTAATGTGGCGGACAGCATGGCAGTAACTTATAAAGTTACAGGGGTCACCTGCTAATATGTAATTATGGCACTTTTGGTTTGTTGAATATGCCACAAGTCCAGGTGTGGACAAACTGAACTGATGTGAATAGCACACAGAACTTCCACATGAATGGCCAAACAATTTACATCAGGCTCTGAAATAATTTCATGTACAATTCAAATTTCATTACTAAACAACACATCTGACTCGCATTAACTGCCAGAATTTTGATCAAAAGACAATTTTTTAAGACTTTCCCAGAGGACAGTGATTTTGGTTATCCCTTTCCTGTGAAGATTGAAAGTTCTTGCAAGAATTTACACCTTCTGTCCTCTAAAGTCTTCATTTGAATGGAAAGCATTGGTAATAAAGGTGATTTCCATCCCTCAAAAGCTAAGTAATTATGCAGTGCTGCACTATCGGCCACCTAATCCAGTAGAAGTTTTTGGAAGAATTTATGCTGTTGCCTTTTACCAGATATTATATCCTATATAGCAAGACTTGCAAGAATCACATAATAATTATACAGTTTTGTGCAGAAGTTCTGCTAGTACATATTCCCACTCAAACTTTTGTACTGTCACCACATTTGAAGTTGCTAAGATATAAAATAAGTTAATAGAAAATGCTGCACTATGGCCCTGGGGTTCACTCAGCCTCTAACAGAAATGAGTAACAGGAATTAATTAAATAATTTTCCTGTGCAGTAAGGCGCGGCCGGCGTGTAAGGCTGACAACCTTACTGCCATCATTGAGCCAATTGTCTAGATAATGTGGGAACCTCAACGTCTCACAACCCTATGGGCCTTCACAGCCTGTTACAGGGATACGTTTACTTTATTTATTTTTACAAACAGTTTGAGCATGTTTGTGATATACCTTCACATTGTTTATTTATTCTTGGTTTATTTAGGGATGCTTTCAGTATTTTGGATTATGTAGCATTGATCACTTATTATTGAATTAAATAGAAATCTGAATATAGCAATTATATAATTGCCATGTTAGATATTCTCCAACAGAACTACATTAAAAACTGTTTATTTAGAAGATGTATTTCCATGCAAGACTTCAGGGTCCCTATATTAAGTGGTGACAGTGTCACTCCCATTTCAGAAGTTAGGATGGCCATCAGGTTAACATTGAAAAGTACAAAGGATGTTCATACCAGGTTTCATTAAAAGTGGTCATTTGGGTCACATGTTCCTAGGGGAAGGGGTTTGGAGAAGCAAACATGTGGACAGGTGGGTGGGTGGGTGGATACATGGGTGGATGTATGGATGGACAGACAGACGGACACATGAAATGATCATACCATTTTTTTTTTTTTTTCCCCATTCATGAGACAAGTCTTTGGAGCTAGTGGACCTATTTTGTGGCCATTGTCTGGTTCACAAGATACAAGGGTTTGCATTTTCAAAATTAGCATGGAAATCAATAATTTTAATTTAGCCATCCATTTTGAACTTCCAGATATACTTATGATGTGTCTGTGAGATTTTAAAATCCAGTGTTTAATTTTTCCAGGAGCTTTTATGTCTTTATGGTCAGGTTGTTCGAGCAGATCGTGTGATGTCTCCACTTCAGAGCCTATCAGAAGATGCACATAGCTTCATATGTGAGAGCTTGTTACTAGATCCAGTGACTACAAATTCTGTAATTCAGCATTTGTTGTGTGTGTGGTGCCCTCATTTCTTGCATATAGATGGTGAATTGCAGAACATTTACACAGAAGCTCTTGAATTATGCATTTTGGAATTGGAGAACAGAAACAGCAGGATGAGTATAAATAAATGTAATTGCTTTTATTTCTACTATGCTACATTAAAGAATTATAATTAACCCTTTCCGGTCAATTGCCGATATATACACGGCAGGGTGACTGTATATCCATGGACAAATGTTGATATTCTACGTGGTGCAATCCAAAAGTTCCCGAAATATATTAATAAAAACTATTACATCTTACCCAGATCTTATTCTGCACCATCGCCTTCAAAGTAGTCCCCTTGGGAGTGCATACACCAATCCCAGCATTTCTGCCACTTTTCAAATGCATCCTGGAAGTTTTTCTTTGTTAGGGTGTTTAGTACCATCTGCATTTCTGCTTGAATTTCCTCAACTGTATCAAATCTTCGCCCCTTCAACTTGATTTTCATCTTGGGGAAGAGAAAGAAGTCACATGGAGCTAAGTCTGGTGAGTACGGTGGGTGGGGAACAACTGCCATCTTGTTTTTAGCCAAAAATTCCTGCACAATGTAAGCCATATGTGGTCGTGCGTTGTCATGGTGGAGTAGCCAGTCGTTCGTGCGCCACTTCTCTGGACGTTTTCTCCTCATGTTCTCCCTCAAACGCCTTAGAACATCGCGACAGAACCCTTTATTGACTGTCTGACCAGGAGGGACAAACTCCTTATGAACAATCCCGTCAATATCAAAAAAACAGATCAACATGGACTTAATGTTGCTCTTGACTTGTCAAGCTTTTTTTGGCCGAGGTGAAGAAGGGCTCTTCCATTGCGATGATTGCTGCTTGCTTTCAGCATCATAGCCATAAACCCAACTTTTGTCACCAGTGACAACCTTCGAAAGAAAGTTTGGATCCTCTTGAAGCTGTTGCTGAAGTTCCCTGCAGACTTCCAAGCGATGCTGCTTCTGTTTATTTTGCAGCAGTCATGGCACAAACTTCGCCGCAATCCTCCTCATGTTCAGTTCCTCTGATAAAATTCGTTGATATGTACCATAACTTAGTCCCAAGGCGTTACAGAGGTGTTGGATGGTCAGTCTATGATCTTGCAGAATGAGATCCCTAACTTTCGCGACATTTTCTGGTGTTTTGCCCGTTGACAGCCGTCCCAAACGATCGTCATCATCAGTCAATATTCAGCCCTTTTTAAAACGCTTATACCAGTTGTAAGTTTGTGTCTGGCCTAAACTGTTTTCACCAAATGAATATTAGATTTAATTTTACCGACCACACAACACCTTTTTTTATTTACTGTCACACTACATGTTTCGACCTCAAGAGGTCATCCTCAGGTGTATGAACACAGTTGCACAATCACACGCAATCACATTTCGTTTTTCCACTTATTTTTGATCCTGTATCCTCTTCAGGTCCACGCTCAAATAATATGTGTCAAGTTCTTCTTATAAAATATAAGTTAAAAATACAAATGTTAAAAGTTAAAATTTAAAATTTAAAATTTAGTTCACTGTATCTAGTTATATTACCACTTGGTTAAAAAGTTCATGAAATAAACTTCA